GGGAAGAATTTGTCTGTTGGAGCCACAAAGATTATTCCTAAGCCCCGCAAGACCAGTGTTGTTCACACAGTGTGTTCTAAGTTAGACTAAACGGAGTGACCCCTTTCTAGGAGAGAAAAGTTCCCCACCCTCAGGGGAAAGCTGTCACCTGTCCCTCACTGTCTCCTGCTTCTACCAGCGGCGGGAAGAGCCTCCTGGCAGCAGCCAGCTCTGCCTTCTTGCCCACGAAACCAACCACTTGGCTGGTTGGAGCCGTTTGGGGCTGGTTCACCTGCTCAAGCCCCGGCCAGGGTCACCTGGGCGGAGCTAAAGCCTTTCTGTGTGAGTTACCAGCCTGTTCTGCACGCCCTGGGACTGTCTATGCTCTGCCTGCTCCTTTGGCGAGAGAGAATGTTGAGTAGGATGAAAACCTCGGGTATCTCACGGGGTAGAAAATTTTTCGGCTATTCTTCAAAGTGGAGTGAAAGCCACCACCTTATAAATTTGGCTGTTCTTTATCCATGTATTGGTTCATGGTCCTTTTGCTAGGGTAAGCGTATCATGCAAGTTCCAGTAGGTTTTGGCGTGGTTTTGTTGTTTGTTTTTTTTTTTCCCTGTGGCACAGGGCAAGGTCCAGCTGTGCCTGTGCCTTTGTTGCCGGATCCTTCTCCGCAGCTGATGCCCAAACCCATCTCAGTAATTGCCGGACGTTTAGGTTGGAAAGGACCTTAAAGATCATTGGGCACGGCCACATTCCCCGATCCCCGGTAGCTCGCAGCCCTTTCCAGCCGCGCCCCGAGCGTTTCCCGGTGCCGCCCCGGAAGGCGAGCGGCGATGGCGGCGCTGGGCGGGCGCTGGCGGGCGGCGGCCGCGCTGCTGCGGCGGGGAGCGGCACCGGGAGCGGCACCGGGAGCGGCACCGGGAGCGGGGCCGCGCCGGTACCGGCACAAGGAGAAGTGGGTGAGCTGGGCCGGGCCGGGACCAGGAGCACCCGCACCCCAGGGCGCTGCTTGCAGCCCGCTTTTGTCCCCGCTAACCCTTCTGCACCCCGCTGCAAATCCCCTTTTCATCCCCCCGTTTTACCGCTCGCTGCACTTTCGTGCCGCCACTCTATGTGCAGCCGTGCCCACCCGGCACCCCAAACACATCCGGCCATTCACAGAATTCTGGAATCAGTGGAGTTGGAAGGGATGCATCAGGATGCAGCTCCTGGTCCTGCACAGGACACTCCCAACAATCCCGCCCTGTGTCTGAGAGCATTGTCCAAATGCTTCTTGAACTCAGACAGGCTTGGTGCTTTGAGCGCTTCCCTGGGGAGCTCCTTCAGTGCCCAACCACCCCGTGGGTGACAAGCCTTTTCCTGTTATCCAGCATAAGCGTCCTGTCACAGCTTCATGCCATTCCCTCGGGTCCTGTCACACTCACCCTCCGGAAAGGCCTTGTGGACTTCTGGCAGCGCAGAACCCAGTGCTGGGTTCTCCCAGGAAAACATGCAGGCTGGGTGGAGGGGGGCCTGGGTATGGGGATATCGAGGTATTTTTTCTTTTAACACTTGTGTTATTTTCCCCACAAGGCTGCCACGGCCCCGCGCATCCCGTCCACGCGGCTGGCACTGCACCACTTCGACACCAGCTACAGCCTGCACCTGGGGGCCCTGTGGCCCTCGGTCCGTGCTGCCCTGCTCTGTGAGCAGAAATACGGGGCCCTCCTCAACAACTTTGCTGCTGCTGACCATGTTCCCCAAGAGCTGGAGCTGCTCAATGCCACCGATTTCATTTCTGAGGCCCCCCAAAAGGCGCAGCACTGGCAGCAGGGTGCAGCTGTGGGGGAAGCCAGAGGGTGCCAGGACGGCTCTGATGAGGGCAGGACTGTGATGCAGGCAGGAATGGTGACACAGGCAGAGATGTCCCCACCACTTTGCACCTCCATCAGCTCCAAAATCAAGTGTTACACCTTCCCCAGGGGTGACATCACACGCTTTCGCCCTGCACGGTGAGACATCCCTGACAGACCACCCTGGTCTTTGCCAGCCTCAGGGTCTGCTTCCTTGTGTCCCCATCCTCACTTCCAACTGCTTTTTATTTTCTTTTCCCCTCCAACATTTGCTTTTGTTATACAAACTGATGTTTTCCAGGCCGGATTCTCTGGGGCTCCTCGACTATTACCTGATGGATGCAGCCTCTCTCCTGCCTGTCCTGGCACTCAACGTGCAGCCAGATGACTTTGTCCTCGACCTCTGTGCAGCTCCGGGTGGGAAGACTCTGGCTCTGCTGCAGACTGGGTTTTGTGGTGAGTGGGGATGGGTGTTCCCTTGTTCTCGTGTGTAAAACAGGGCTGGAGGAGTGTACTGCACCCATTCATGTCTGATCATTAATAATTTCTGTGTGTAAGAGCTGGAAATCAGGTGTGTTTTTGCAGAAGTGACATTCCCAGTGTGCTTGTTCTGTCCTGTCAGGGCATCTGGCAGCCAACGATATCTCCATTTCCCGGACAAAGAGGCTGTACCAGATTCTCCATAGCTATGTCCCCAAAGAAGTCAGGGATACTGTGAGTGTCACGTCCTATGATGGAAGGGACTGGGACCAGGTGGAAGGTGGCACTTTCCATAAGGTATGTGTTTGGGAACCAGTGAAGATAAACCCATCAAGTTTACTTCTCTCCTCTTTTTGAGGAAGACAGCAGCTTATCCTTCCATATAACTGTGTAGTTTTCTGTAATCATCAATGCAGAGAAAGAGAGACCAAGCCACATAAGGAGTAATATTTCCTCTGCTGTCCCTTCAGGATCTGGTGCATGTGTGCATCTAGAGTTTCACCTTTATTTGCCTGTGTAATACCCCTTAGAAATCCTGTTCTTGTCTATCATCTGGAAGGGGTTTAATGTGAAGATGAGATAATTCTGGCTTCTCAGCCATGTCCAGCCACAGAGGCTGGATTTGGTGTTCCAGGGGCTGGGTTGGGTACTCTGGGGAGCATTGCTGCAGCAGCAATGCCCGTGTGTGCTGCAGGGGCATTGCCTGGAACACACACAGACCAGGGACATTACGTGAGGACATGAGTTAGTGCCAGATGTTTTCCGCCATTTTTTCACGTTCCCAAAATGCCAAAGCAGCCAGATGATTACAGTTCAGCGTGGTGCACACCTGTGTTTGGGCACTGGGAGCTGTTGAGAGGGATGGAGGAGGCTGGCTGCAGGAGGGCACTCGCTGAGCTTGACCTGTGCAGGGGGCTGAGGTGGGACCTCTGCTGCTGCAGGTGCTGGTGGATGTGCCCTGCACGACAGACAGACACTCTGCCATGGAAGAGGACAACAACATCTTCCACAAGAGGCGAACCAAAGAGCGTCAGATGCTGCCCATGCTGCAGCTGGAGCTGCTGATGTGAGTGAGCTCAGCTGTGTTGTGTTGTGTTGTGTTGTGTTATGTTGTGTTGTGTTGTGTTGTGTTGTGTTGTGTTCCCCGGGTGCTGGGAGCAGCTCTCCAGCACTGAAAACTCTACTTACTCTGTTTCCAACTGGAAAATGTGGAAACCATGTGTAGTTTTCTGGCAGTAGTTAGAACATATCAAATCACAGTAAGTGTAAGAAAGTGCAAGTATTCTTGGTCAGATCACTTGTCCTTCTGTCCCCAGCAGTAGCCATAGGATAATAAGATGGGTACAGTTGTTTTGGGTGGTGATCTCCTGAGTCCTGGCCGTCAGCCCCGAAGGATTCCTGAATGCACACCTATCCCAGCACACAAGAGGACGTGTGATGCTGGGAAGTGCCACAGCTTGTCACTGTGTGCTGTGACAGCAAGGAAGCAGATTAGAGAGTCCCATGGCAGCGCTTGAACTGCAAGAATCTCTTCCCCTGAACATATATCCCATTCCTTTGGATGTGACTGCAGGATTACACCTTCCAGCTGCTCCCCAGTAGCATCTCCCATGTTAAATTCTTTATCAGTATAAGATATCAGTGTATCTGTTTGACTCTTTGCCCTGGCCTAAACACTCCTCATGTTGCAGCGACACAGACTGCTGAGCCTGTGGAGTTCGGTGGGGTTTGTCTGTCACTTCTATGAGTTCCTGTTGGCCTCCCAGTTTTGGTGGGTGGGAATGTCTGTGTCCCTCCCCCAGAGTCCTCCCTGACCATGTGTGTGTTCCCCTTGCCTGCAGGGCTGGGATCCTGGCAGCCAAGCCAGGAGGGGAGGTGGTGTATTCCACGTGCTCCCTGTCCCCACTGCAGAACGAGTGTGTGGTGGAGAGAGCTCTGGACATTGCAGAAACACAGTTCAACATCAGTGTCCACGTTGAGGACTTGAGCCACTTCCGGACGCTCTTCCAGGACACGTTTTCCTTCTTCTCGGACTGCCGGCTCGGGGAGCTTGTCCTGCCTCACCTCACAGCCAACTTTGGGCCGATGTATTTCTGCAAATTACGTCGGATGTAGAAGGGGCAACAGACTCTCTTTGCTGTCTGGAAATAGCCCAGTATTTAAGAGAAAGCAGAACTGCTTTATATTTATTTTTCTTTCTAAAATGTCCTAAAGGAAGCCTGTTTTTTTACTGCAGACAGAGGGAATAAATGAGAAAGAACTGCTGTGGTGTTTCCTGAATATTTATCTGTTTGAGACTAAGGTGTTTAATCTGGGAAAGAGAGAGAGGTCTTATCAGAGGGAGCGATTTATCCATCTGTGTGGGACAGGATAAATGGCCCTGTTCTCTTCCTCCTGTCTGACTGCTTTGATCCTACATGAGCAGGTTTGGGTTAACGAACACCATCTGGGGATCTCAGCCTTTCTGTCCCAGATCTCACCATCTGCATAAATGAGTTGCATCTGCCTGTGCTTATCTCCTGCCTTCAGAGACAGCAGCCTGAGGTCCTGAAACCAGAGGTTCCTAAGATGCCCCTCCTGTGGGGTTGGAAATGTGTTTGAGATGCTGGAGATTTAATGCTGTGGAGAGGCCAGTGACTGTTGCCATCCTAGTGGATAAGTGTGAATGTTCCCATGCTGGATGCCATTTAATGTCCAGTGGGCAGGTGTTTTTATGATTCTGAGTAGTAACTTCGTTTATTGAATCATCATAACCAGTGAAGGATTACTGGAATTTATGATAAGAGTTGCCTAATAGTTTTTTATTTATGTGAGCAAAACACAGTGATGGGAAGTAATGGACATGGGTGTATTCCTCATGGGGCAACCCATATTACATCCATATGAAGTTATTCCAGTGCCAGCAAGAAAATACTATTGAGCTTCTGTAATCCTTTCCTCTCAGCACTGCCCTGCTTCTACTGGAGGCAGCACTGGTGGAAATAGGGGTGAAGGGGTGAACCCACATCCATGGCCATCCTTGCCAGAAGTGCAGTTCCTAGATTTACCACTGTTTGAACCTGTCTTAAGCCAGTCCTGCAGGGCATGTTGGTTCCTTATAGGATCTGTGTTGATTAGCAAGGCGAGGGGTCAGGAGGTGACATTTCCTTCCTCCTCCCCTCCTCGGTGTAATGTCTGCACTGCTGGTGGCAGTCGTGCAGCACTGTCCCTTCTCCTTGGGGACCATGGTGGCTATGGCACTCTCTTGTCACGGCTGACGGTCTCCACCTCCTTCATGAAGCGCAGGCACAGCTCCTCCTGCCACGGCAGAGCCACGCACTGCACGGCCACGGGCATCCCCACTGCTCCTGACACAGCCTGCAGCAGGTGCACAAGAAGTGAGGCGTTACCCGGGGGCTCAGACCTCCAGCAGATTTTGGGAATTTGGTTTAGGCCTGTGGCTCATCCCAGACAGTGGGGAGGTTGGAGTTTGAGCCCTGTTAGTGTGCTGAGCAGAGGGAAGACTCTTGCTGTTCTCTGATAGAAATGGCTGCCAAATCTTGGGTAATATGTTTGAGACACTTTCCCCCACACAGCCCTGCTTTGAGCTGTGCTGTAGGCAGATCTCTTTTCCTTCAGCATCCTCATTCCTGATCCATGCTCCACTGGTAGCCTGGGCCTGGCTGAAGGCAACATAGCAGGAGGAAAGTGCAGTGCAGTGTTGTGGGCTGTGGCTGTTGCAAGGACCTGCTCCCAGAAGCTTTGCTGCTTGGCTCCTTGCTGGCTTCAGCCTACCCAGCCTGCCATAGATCCTTTAGCCCTCCCCAAAGCTTAGTGACTTACCTTTGGGGCTTGGGAGGAAAGCAAGGGGTGTGTTCCAGGTAGATTTGGGTATTAGCAAGGGGTGTATAAAGAGGATACGAATGTTTCTGCACTGTGCCCATAGTGATGGAGATACTTAGGAGCCCTTGATATCATTGAAACTGTTACCTGAACTCCCATCAGCATTCTCTGCTCCACCACTTCCCATACCTGTTTCAGTGTCCGGTCCCAGGGGTCATCACAGCATCCTTTGTAAAGCTTTAGCTCTTCCTCATCAGCCTCTGTCACGGTGCTGACGGGAACAACCCCGGCAGGGAAGTTCAGGACGTTGTACAGCATCGTGGAGGAGATGGCAGCTGAGAGAAGCAGGAGAGGATGCAGACAGTCACAGCCTCCTGTCTTCAAATTTACACATTCTGTATTCACTGAAGGCCCTGAGAACTCTGTGTCTGTCTCCACCTGCTCAGAGAGCTTTCTGTAGTTACTTTTCCTTCCTAATTCCCATGAAATTCTTGAGTGGGCAGTGAAGCTCCATGGCAGTGGATGTTTGTTTCCCTCCTGTCTCGACCACTGTGCTTCTCTGCCCTCCTGGGAAGGCCCCAGACTCACTTACTGAGGAGTTTCCTGGGGTATCCCGTGTTGAAGGCAGGGCCCAGGACAGGGCAGAGCACAACGTCCAGCTGGAGTTCCTTCCACTGGGTGATGAACTGGGAGCGGTACTCCTGGGGGAGGAGAGGGGCCATGTCCATGCCTGGAGCCTCCCAGCCTCTCCAGGCACACCTGAGGAGGCAGCAGCAGGCAGTGATGCTCAAGGGATGAGGCAGAGGAGCATGTGTTTGCCTCCACGGCATGTGGCCAGAGGTGGCCAGGAATTTGAAAGGTCTCACTGAGGCCATCCCCACTGCCAGGACAGCCTTCACTGTGCCTGGGCACGAGCACTGACTCAGAAGCCCATCCACCCCATTCCTATTCTGTTTGGGCTGACTCAAAAGCCCATCCACCCCATTCCTATCCTTTGTGCCTTTCCCTCCATCCTGTCTCCTCCCCAGCAACCCCTCCCCTGCACAATCCCTTTCCAAAACGATGACTCTCTGACCTGGCACTTGCCACAAAGCCTCAACTTGTAACATGATGCCAGAGAGGAAAATCCTCCAAACACACCTGTATTTGATGGTGATGATTCCACATCTCCTTCACTGACCTGCAAATGGAAATCATAGTAACATCTTTAAGCTTTAAGAGGAGGAGGAATTGCTTAAATAGCCCTCTGGGTTGATAAGCCCTGGTGATTTTAGCAATTGCTTAAAACAGTACAGCTTGCACAATGCTCCTGAAGTTTCCTTTGGCATCTGGCCAAGCAATTAAGCAGCAAATGTCTGGAAGTGTTGGAGAGAAGGTTTTCCTGATCGGCCTGGATTTAATACTCATCTCTTCCACAGGCTTCCTGTAATGACCTTATCCATTCACGTGCCTCATTCCTGTCAGGATATCACTAGGGGCAGTGAAGCCATGTCCAGGAATGAAGGACAGCCCCTGCAGAGCTCAGATCACAGCCTGTTGTGAATCCAGTCGCCCCCCAGCCATGGACACCTAGAGGAGAAGGTGTCACCCATTTCCATGGAAGTCCTTGGGGACAATGCCATCTTACCTCATTCCAGCCAAGGCACTCAGGTAGTCGGCCAGGCGGGGAAACTGGAAAGGCAAGAGGTTCCTTAGGGACATGACATGGGGCTGCAGTAACTTGTGTCACCCTGGGAAGGCCCTGTTCCTGTCCTCAGGGATAGGGACTCACCAGAGGTTTAAGAAGCAGAGCCAGCATCTTCTTCACCAGCCTCGGGATCTTGCAGGTATTCACCTGTGGTCTCAGGGCTGGATCTAAAATATCTCCTGTGCTGAGAGATGACAAGAGGATGTCAGAGAAGCTGTTTGCCTTTTCTCAGAGACCTGAGTGTTGCCTCTTTGGGATGGGAGTTGTGCCTGTGCTCACAGTGTGGGGATGGAGTTGTTGGCAGCACTGCTGCCAGAGGGCTCCTACTTACAACACATCCAGCCAGCTACGGCCTCCATCAGCAAAAAACGTCTTGAAAAAGAGTTCAGTCATGACATAGGGGATCCGAGGAGGAGAGAAGAGCACCAGCTGCACCAAAACACAAGATTATGTGGCAGCCTAGGGATGTGAATAGTTTCCAAGACTCGAATGTGGATATTCCTCAAAGGCAGAGAGGCACCTCCCTGGGCTCCATGTGCCAAGAGAAGCCCTGGTTCAACCATTTTCCATCCAAGCATCTCCCCATGAGATGATTCCTCCTGTTTGTCCAGAGTTGCACTGCTCCCTTAGGGGTCTCTGCCTGGTGTTACGTGGCTGGAGGAACATAATCCCATACCTCAGCCAGGGCATTTTCCCCACAGATGTGCTTGGGAGCTGTGTCTGGTTTCTGAAGGGTGATGTCCTCAGTGAGGAGCGAGGCTGGGGACACCCTGGGGAGAAGAGCAGGGGGTGGTGGTGCTCACCTGGTGCCCAGCTGCCTGCAGAGCACACCTGGTTTCCCTCACTGCCCTCCTCATGCAGGGGGGCAGTGGAAAGTAGCCATCGGTGTCATAGTACCCGACCCGCAGGGGAGTGGAGCTGGAGTACACCTGGAACAGAGACACCAGTTTGGCATTCCTATTCCTAATGGGATTGCTGTGAAAATCCTTTAGACGTACACCATTGACCAGGTCTGGGACTAAGACTGGATCCAGCCACACCCACTCTGCATCAGGAAAGCAACGGGGGTCCTCTCTGAACCTTGTGATACAGTGGGAAGGTCTCCCCTACTCCTTGTATTTCCCTACTAAATTCTTAGATATGTACTGCTGGCCAGTCTGGGATTAGGACTGGACTCAGCTGTACCTAGGCTCTGTCAGGAGTTTAGAAAGCAAGGGGGTCCTTTCTGAACCTTGTGACTCAGTGGGAGGGTCTTCCCTGCCCTTTGTATCTTTGTCCTTTGCATCCCCAGTCTCCACGCAAATCATTCCAAAGTGACACTAAGCTGACTTTCCTTTGTATGCTCCATCTTTGTAATAAGTAACAGAGTGAACCCTGTCATTGAACTATGTCACCGTTTTGCAAATTTGTATTAAAACCTGCTTTTTCCAATGGCTTTGGCAGTGATTCTTTAGTTGACCTAAATCACTCATTCATGACACCCACCCTGCTGAGGGTAGGTCTGCTCCCATGCTGACACCCACTGCAGAAGGGGGCAAGAGCTCCAAGTGCTAAGGACTGACTAATATTCTGGTTTGCTGTTTATAGTTCCACTTTCCAAATGTCTACCCCTGCCTTTTTCTCCAGGCCCTCCTTCAGGAGGAGCACAGTCACTCTAGACAAGTGGATTCAACCACTGCTAAAGAGAGTGGAGGTGCAAAAACCTCCTGAGGCTGGTCTGCTGCAGAGAGAAAGGGAATCTACCCTCAATTAAGAGATTTGCTGCAGCAGTCTCTGATCCTGTCTCATCTTCCCCTGAAGATTTCCAGCTATTTGCTCCCAGTGTTGCCTTCTTCCCTGCTCTTTCCTGGATCCTCTCAATTCAATAAGCTGCATTCCAGCTGAGAAGACAGACAGGATAACTACTGATTTTTTTTTTTTTTTTTTTTAATGAGAATTATGAACTGTGCCCTCAAAGAGATCTATTTTACTGAAAACCAGTACTGTAAAGATAAGTGGACCCTTCAGGAGGGTGTGTGGCACCCTGGAAGGAACCAGGGCTTGCTGAGTGAAGGCTCACCTGCTCATTGAAGGGGATGGGGGGCACGGTGGGGTCCAGCTGGAACATCTCCTGGCAGAGCAGCGCCTTCATGCACAGGGCCAGGCTGTCCACATCCCTGGCCATGGGCCCCAGGGCACAGGGGACTGCATGGGACAAGAACAAACACCCACACTGAGCAGATGGAAGTGCCAAACACCACCCACCCCCCTGAACAGCCATGCTGGGGTGAGCAAGCAATGGGGGAAGTTTCAGATGGACTCCAGACAGGCCTTTGTTGTCTCAGGTTTTCTTCTGGCCTGCAGGAGAACATCATGTTCTTCATAGGATATATAGGAAAGGAATTTAAAATTAATGTACCTGCCAGGACGCCATTGATAGGGCCAGTCACTCCAGACAGGCTGTGGGAAAAGAAGTATATTGTCATTTCAGTAATGGGGAAATATTCACAATGTGTTTGAAAAGCACAGTGGGGTCTCCAGCTCAGGACCAGAAACAGAAGGAAATTATTTCAAAAATTTGAATTGAGTAATTAAAAACAGGAAATTTTGGCCAAAATAAAACAAACAAACAAACCAAAACCCCAACATATCTTAGTTTTGGTTTAACCAAAACTGTTCCATTTTGACATTATTTAACCACTTTAACTCCCTTTTAAGTAAGCAAATCAAGGCTAGATTTACAATGAAAATATTCCCATTTCACAAAATCTAACCATCCCGGGAGAGGTTTTGAGCAAAGCAAGCCACTCTTTCAGAGCCACCCTCTCTCCTCCCTCCAAGCACTCACCCAGGGCATTTCCCCTTGGGCCAAGCTTGCCTTGGGAAGGGATGGCAGGGCAGGGTTGGAGGGGCAGGACTGGAAGAGCAGGATTGGCAGGGCAGGGTTGGAGGGGCAGGACTGGAAGAGCAGGATTGGCAGGGCAGGGTTGGAGGGGCAGGACTGGAAGAGCAGGATTGGCAGGGCAGGGTTGGAGGGGCAGGATTGGAAGGGCAGGGTTGGAGGGGCAGGGCCAGCACCCACCTGAGTCTCTGAGCCGTGGGTTTGAGGCCACAGAGCCCACAGAAGCTGGAGGGCAGGCGGATGCTGCCGCCTATGTCGGAGCCGATGCCCAGGACGGAGCCTCCCCCTGCGATCAGAGCCCCCTCCCCTCCCGAGGAGCCCCCAGGGCTCTTCTGGGGGTTGAGAGGGTTCAAGGTCTGGCCAAAGATGGGGTTGCTGCACTCGTAGCTGGGGAGAGAAAAGCCAGGAAAGAGGCTGAGAGGAACAGCCTTGGGTTTGTTTGCTTTCCCTTGCAGAGAACCTGTGTGGCACAGCCAACCCCAACCTTTCATCCTATAAATCCACAGCTCATTCCCACCAGCCTCTGCTCTCCCTCCCATGTACAAGTGCACTCCATTTCTCTTAACTCATGGTAGGTTTTTTCCCCTCTTTGTCTCATCTGACAGCTCCTTCAGCTGATATTGTTGCCAGATAATGGAAGAGGGACTCTCCAGGCCAGGGAGAAGCCTGTCCAGGGCTGGGATTTTCCTTCAGAAGCACAACCAGAGGGAAAATTTTTAATAGTGTGTGTCACCTAAAGAGGGATTGTGGCACATTGGTCATTGCAAATGGGATGGCCCCTTGTCTTTTCAGGACCTTGACCAGGACGCTGTCCTCCTCCATCACAGTGTCCAGGCACTGCACAAGCCCACAGGTTGCCAAGTGGCCCTGCAGAGAGGAGAAGTGACAAGGGACACGGTCAGTGCAGTTCCCCTGCTCTTATGGAAGGATCATCTGGCATTCCTTCAGGGGTTGTGCGTTTGGTACCAGCCCTTGCTCGAAGGACTCCCTTTCCTTTCATCCTTGGCAGAAGGCTGCCATGCATTCATCAGGTTAAAGCTTCTCCTGAAGCTCTCCTTACTCTTTTCCTTGCTCCTTTTCTCCCCTGACCCCAATGCAGCTCCATACTCCATAGGTGCACTAGCTCAGGATCAAACCCAGCTGCCCGAGTGAATCTACCAGTGGGTGTTCAGGGAAGGAATAATCCCATGTAAACAAAATGTGTGAGCCTTTTTCAGCTAGCTATGGTATTTGGGGCTTGCTTTGGGCTTAAAGCCTCCAACTTATCAGAGGAGAAATAATTTGTGTCTATATTCATCCCTGGTTTTTCTCTGCTGATGGAGGCTTGTGCTGCTTTTGGCTGGGGTAGAGTTTATTTTCTTCACAGTAGCTACTACAGGGCTGTGTTTTGGGTTTTGTGCTGTAAACAGTGTTGATAACACAAGGATGTTATTGTTATCACTGAGCAGGGCTTGCACAGAGCTTCTCATACCAATGAGCAGCCTGGGAGTGCATGAGAAGTTGGGAGGGGACAGTCAGGACAGCTGACCCCAAGTGACCAGAGGGACATTCCACACCATATGGAGTCATGCTCAGCATACAAAGCTGGGGGAAGAGGAAGGAAGGGGAGATGCTTGGGGTGATGGTGTTTGCCTTTCCCAGTTTCCATCACACATGATGGAGCCCTGCTCTCCTGGGTGTGGCTGAACACCTGCCTGCCCATGGGATGTGGTGAATTAATTCATTGTTTTGCTTTGCTTGTGTGCAGTTTACCTAATAAAATGTCTTTATCTCAATCCACAAGTTTTCTCATTTTTACCCTTTCTATTCTCTCTCCCACATCCCATTGTGTGTGGGGGGAGTGAGTGAGTGAGTGCCTTCAGACACAGCCAGGTTTCCTGTGGTGCAAGCAGGGAGGGATTTGGCCCCTTTCCCATTCTCCACTCCCAGCACTCCCCCAGCCAGCCCAGCCCACGATGGGATACTCCACAAACACAGAGGGAAGAACCTTGTGGCCGATGTGATCCTTGATGCTGACAGGGATGCCGTAGAGCAGCCCCTTCTCCTTGTGCCGTTCTATTTCCTGGAGCCGCTCCTCACACTCTGGGATGAAGTGTCGCAAGCAGTTTGTCTGCTGGGTCACTTCTAGGGCCTTTGTTGGACATTTGGGGAACAGGTGTTAGATAAGAGCAGCATCATTCCACAGCTGATTTAGCATCTACCTTGATCTACAAAATACAGCATGAACAACTCCCTCCCCAGAGCATCCCAGCTCAAGCCATCTCAAAGGACTGTCCAGTGATGGATCTGACCCAGGAGACAGAGCATATTTTTCTCTTAATATCTGCTATATTAAAGGCTAGTCATAGTCCAGCTCCAACAAGCCTTTTCATTCACCTGCACACACACCATGGCATGGAGAATGTAAAAGATTTGCTTTGTGCATCTCACTGTGGATGGACACTCACCTTCTCTAAGTAGGTGTACAGGACAGTCCTGGGGGACAGAGACCCTTCCTGGAGTCTTCCAGTGAGTTCCAGCAGGGGCAGGGACAGAATGGCCTCTCTCTGGACACCAGGGACCTGCAGAGGGAAGGTGAGGGGGATCCAGGGCAGCTGCTCCAGTTACCCTTTGGCTCAGGGGAGAAGGCTGTTAAGTTTTGTCAACATTGTCAACACAGCTTTCTGGAAAGGCAGGTCCTGCATGTGAAAGTTCAGACCTTGAGCTGCCAAGTGTTTTATCCTGAGTTTGGATATCAAAAACAGGATGCATACACAGGAACCCAGATGTAGAGGGGCTTCATCCACCCACTGCAGCAGAGGAGATGGCAATGCCTTCCTCCTGGCACAGTGGGACTGACCCACTGACCAAGTTGTAACCTCAGCTGAACAAACACTGCCTGGGGCAGAAGGTACCAAAGTCCTTGCACACAAGTCTCAGGTTGTCCTTTCATCCCTCAGAACAGATACAGGCAGTGTAGGACAGCCTGGGCTGAGAACAAACATTTAACAGCTCAAGCCCATCAAACTGCGAGGAAGTCAGCAGGAACTCACAGGTGATCTACCCAGGTAAAAAGACTGGCAATTCTCAGTGCCACCAGGCTTTTAGAGGTTTTATATCATATATTTGTACTTATACGGATATATATTTAAGAAAAAATGTTGTAGATATATGCATCACTTGTAGCTGGTATGCTTTATCTCCAGGTGTGTTACCTGTATAAACATGAGCTGGTTTACCCAGTATGTATTCAGAAGAGCAGAAAGGAAAGGTGGTTAGAAATGATGTTGCAGTAGGAATTCAGGGCTGTGCTGGCTGGATGCCTGGCTCATTCACCCCCATGTCACATCCTGGTTTCTCCCAGGGGACACTGAAAACCCTGTACTTCATTAGTGTAAAGTTAGACCAGGCATCTGATGGGAGGTGCCACTGACTGAATGCTGCTTTTGGAGACACCCTCAGAACTGTCCAGAAGCCAGGTTTTAGAGACAAAGGTGTGAACAGATGTGCAAACTTAGAGTTAAGTAGAGAAAAAAGCTTTCTTGCTTCTACCCATTATTGGCAAGAGACATTTTCAGATCATGAAAGAATTGGGGTTTGGATCAATGAAGATCCAGTGCACCTGTGTTGTTCACAAACCTCTTCTCAGTGAGTAATCCACATTCCCCAAGCTGTAGACTCCCACCACATCTCATCCAGCTGGAGGAGGGCAGTGATCTCCCTTGCTCCCAAGGCACCCTTAATTCTTGCTGAGGGCTGCTGGCACATCTCCTTATAAAAGCTATGGGGCCATGAGCTGGAAGGAGGAGCTGAAGGACAACAAGAGCAGACACCCCAGTGGGACTCAGACCCCCGAGGAGGATGGGTTACCTGCTCCCTGAACTGCTGGACAGCCTTTGCCATTTTCTTCAACCCCTCATCCCGGGTCCTCCGAGCCTCTTCCATTTTCTTGTGCACCTTCTTTCTGCCCAGCCATTTCCAGACCCCCAGAGCTGCCACGGAGCCACCGAGCAGGGCGAGGGCAGCAGAAGTGTCCACCTTCCTGTCTGGCAGGAGCTCTCTCAGCTGCTGCTGGATCATCATGTGCATTTCTGGTCTCTGAGGATGCAGTGAGAAAGAAAAGCAAGGCAGATGCAGGAGACCTTCCCACCCCCCAGCACCCCTATCCTGGGTCAGCAAATAGTTCAGAGTTCAGTCCAAAGCTGACCTCTGCAAAGCTGCTGTAGGTGGAGTGTGCAGTGAAAATGATTAACCACCAAATGGAGAATGTAAAGCTTGGCCAATGGACCTTGTGTTCATTGGGGTGTTGGGTTCATTGGGGCTTTCTGGACTGTGGGAAATTCTCTGCTGGAGAGGACTGTAGGATCAACTGAACAAATGAAGCAAGGAAATGGCTGCTCTCTTGTTTCCTGTGTAGCCTGAGAGGACAATGGGAGAAGAGGAAAAACAGCTTGAAATAACAAGGCTTCCCTGCACAGGGCTGGGAAGTGGCGTGCTGAGGGAATGCATAACTATGGGGTACCCTGGGCTCACCAAGACCCTTCTGCTGCTGCCATGGTGGCCAGAGGATGTTTTGGCAATGCTGTGGTGTCCTCATGCACCAGGAGAGGCTGTTCCACGCTGTGACAAAGCACATTGGCCTTAGGAGTGGAAAATCCCACAGACTTGCAGGCCAGAAGCAAACTATTTCACCAGATATTGGAATGGCTGATGTCTGACATTTTTCCAGCACAGAGGCCTCTCAGTACAAGCACTAAGAACCACACACTGAGCTGAAGGCAACAGCTCAGCCAACATCAGCCATGGTCTGTCTGCAATCTCCTCTGTTGCTTTTGGATGGTGGATCCTCCCTATGGGTCCCCTCCTTGGGAAAAGTGTTTGGGCAGCTATGGATTGTGCATTACAAAAGTTTGCAAGGTTCCAGCAGAGTGTGGAACTGGATATGGAATGGAAGCTGAAGAACCCTCTCCCTTCAGGGCTAAGTGCTCCTCTAGTCCTCCATTTTCCATTGTCACATCCATTCTTAGCAGTTGTAAGAGTTTACTGCTGTTTTCTGTCACAATTTGTGTCAGCTGGGAATGTTCTTATCTTAGTTCTTTACTAGAGAAATTTATGGACTCTGAACAAATCTGGCTTTGGTGGCCTTGAAGCATTCTGAAGCTGGCAGCAATGTGGTAACAAATTGAGCCCATGCCCATTCCAGGGGCACCCTTCCTTGGGGGATGCCCCCTCAGCTCTGGCACTGCTGGTGTGAAAAGAGCTGCAGCTTGGGGACATGCCTGGAGCTCATCCTGCTCCTGCTCCGTGGTGCTGGCTGCAGCAGGAGCTTCCAGAAGGTGCAGGGTGATGCACGGGAGCAGAGTCAGCACGTAGCAATGCCCAGCCCTCTCCCAGTCCTCATCCAGCCTCCAGGAATCCATGCAAGCACTGGCAGAGGTGGGTTCTTTGCCTGTGTGACTGCACCACAACATGTGTGTGTGATGGGCTGAGCAGATGTGGGAGGGTTTTGTCCCTGAGCTGGGAAGTGTCAGGATATTGGCCTCCCACATCTTCCTGTGCACTGGGATCTGTGCCCTGATCCTGCCCTTTAGACACTTGGTAAATGTTTAACACAGACAGACACAGCTGTGTCTGGACTGACTGGGCATTTCAAAGGGCAAATTTCCAGGTGGCTGGATGCTGCTGGGGAAAACCCTTCTCCTACCAATGTGCTAGCATCTCCACATCCTACATGGATCTGAGGTATGGCTCCTCCTGCCACCATAAGGCCACAAATCCAAGGGAACCTAAAGGAGGAAAGGGGAGGGATGTCCCAAGTGAAATCTCAAGTCCACAGCAGAGGAGACAGACCTGCCTGGCTCACAGGTCGATATTCACTTCTCCATGTCCAAGAATTGATCTAAGACCAAGGTCAAACCCACAAGAGGAGTTCAGATGAAAGCCATGACCCTTTTCACAAGGAGAGTCAGCCTGTAACAGCTCATCTGGGCTTTCATGTGGCATTCACAACATGCCCTTCACTTTGACCATCCCAAAAAAAGGTTAAACCAAGTCAGAGAGTCCCCTCCTGTCCCCAGCAAGATCTGCACCATCTTTGCTTGCAAGAGCAAAGCTGCCCTGATTCACTCTCAGCAGGTTCAGCTCTCAAGGCTGGGTCTTTTCTGAAATTCTTATAACTGAACTATTTTCTCTCTAAATTGGTAAGAAACGTTTTTATCAGCTTTGACCCTATTTTGATTAAAATGAAAAAGAATAAATCCTGACAGCTGTGTCTTGTGTTCATGTATTTGTAACTAAACACTCTGATGCTGTTTTTAAAACTATTTACAAATGAGGCACGTCAACTATGCTGCTCTGAAAGAATTTTAAAGACGTTTTACAAAATACCAAAATCATAGTGAAATGGGCTGGACCCCTCCAGGGAACTTGTTCAGCTTGGCTGGGAGGGCTGAATAAATGTTTTCTGGGAACTCTCCAGTTTCTGACTCATTTCAGCCTGGAATATCCATTGGAAGAATAACACTTTCCTCAGTTCCAGTCCAACTACACCAGTACTCACAGAACACAACAGCTGCTAAGAAACTTCCCCCTACCTAAGCTGCAACTTTCCAAACATCAAGGACATCAGTTGAGAGGTGAGGGCCTGTCTCTAGCAACCCTTTTTCACGTTGCTCAGCCCTGTTGGCTTTTCCTGAATATACTGTGATAGGATGGGAAGAGAACTCCTATAGCAACCCTCAGACCTCTGACGGCAGGGACTGCTTTCTCTCCTGACCATCACTACATTTTTCCCACTTTGATGGGTATTGCACTATTTTCCTTCAGATTTTCCATAGCCAAGTTTTATGAATCCTACTTAGACCTTGTCCAGCAAGGCAGAGACATGATCAGAAAGGGTGCTGCAGAGAGCTGTCAGTTCTTCACCAGAAGTCCAGGAGCATTCCCATTTCTTCCATCATGCCTGGTGTCTTGCACAGGTTTGTCCCCTCTGAGTGACAGCTGTGACTTCAGTGCCCTGATGGTGAGGGACTGGGATGTTCCCAGCTGCTCCATGACTGGGCACAAATCTTACAGCAGGAAGCTGGGCTTTCACCGGGCTCCCATGGGCAAGCAGGGAATGTAGGAAGCTGGAGAACAGTAACAGGAAAGAAAAAACAATAAAGAAAGAGCAGATCCATGCTTGGAGGGGTGAGGATTTGTGCAGTAAACAGATGTTTCAGAGTAAAAGATGTACCAACCCTAATTCTTGCTTTTTTTGTGTGTTTCAAGGGTGAGTTTTGTTATGTTCAGGTGTTTCATTTCACCCGTTTTTTGAACATTTGCTTTAAGCTTCTTCAACTACCACCATCCTTGGAACTTATTTGAAGTGAATGTCTGACATCCTGGGAATGTTTGTGTCCCTAATTTTCTCTTCCACTGCCTGCTACGTAGAGAGCTCAGTGTGTTTTGGATACTGTAAGGAGACACCTGACCCATTCTAACCACTCGTGTTCTGTTGCTGTAAGTCCTTCTAGGGAGTTTTTCTGTTGCTGTAAGTCCTTCTAGGGAGTTTTATTTGCTCCTGGTCTTGTGATTATGGCAACAATGTGAACGGCAAACTAAAGAAAAAGTCCTGCAAAATAAAGGAAAAACAAATTAAAACCCTAGATTTTCTGATGCTTCAATCTCTCGACCTTGTTTATTTATCTGGCCATAGAATGAAATGTGGATTAAGAAGGGCAGATTTAAATTATTAAGATCAAGAGGGAGGAGGAAAAATGATCAAAGACCACAGCCAGGATATAGTGCTGAAGATGAAAGAAACTAGTAAAAACAGAGTCCCTTTTGGCCCAAACAGCATTTGTACATAATCCTCTGAGGCAGAGCAAAGCCTGGACTTTGGTCAGTGCAAACACACGATGCAGGTCTGCACGGGCTGCACAGCCTGAGCCAGCAGCTCTTGGAGAAGGAGCTGCAGCAGGGCTGCAAACAGCAGCACTGTGCTGGTGCCTGTGGAAGGGCTGGCATTCTTTCTCCAGCTTGGAGGAGGCCTGGAGGAAGAACTCTGCTGAAAACTTGCAGTGATGCCCAGCTAAGGGCCTTTCTCTGCTGGTGTTTCAGCACCTGACCTCACCAGAATCCTCTCAGCATCACCCTCCCCACTTTCCCCTCCATTTATGCAGCAATGGCAACTGATGTCATGGACAACCTGGCTGGAGAAGGGCCCTAAATTTTACCCAGGAAGGTGCTTTGCTGTCTGCCCACCTGAGGCATTTACTTGATCTGTAAATTCCTGAACAGACCCCTAAATCAGGCCCAACCATGTATCTTATTTCCCTCACACTTTTTCAACATTCTTCTGGATGTCTTCTCTACCTCATGCACTTCAGTGCCAGGAGAGTTTTATCTGAGCATCCATGCTCTCTACTTCAGCATCTGCTGGATGATAGGGAGAAATTCCCTTTGGCTGCTGGCTCTGGGAGGGAGTGCTGCAGGCTCCTGAGATCTAGTGACTGGCTGGAGGCAGGAGAGAGGAGAGCAGGAGGAACAGAAAATCCCTTCTAGAGCTACCCACAAGGAGCAGCTGAAATGCAGAGCACAGGTATGCCTGGAAGTTCCTTTCAGAAACAGGACTTTTTCACTTGGTTCAGCGTTGCAAAGATATGGAGGGATACAGGAGTGAAGGACACAAACCTTTCCTTGCAAAATAAGGTCTGTGCATGCTCAGGTCTAGCCAGGAATGCTAGATTGTTTAATGGAGAGCTCCCATCTTACTTTTGAGAGGACAGCTAAAGACCCTTTGCTCCTGGCCTGGGAGGATCATGGTCACTCCACAGGCACCCCCAGGCTGGTGCTCCATGGCTGGTACCCCCAGCAGCAGCAATCCTGACATACCATCTGCCCTGAGCAGGGCGTGCCATGGATCTTCTCCTGGCTGCACGCTGTCAGAGCGTGGTGAGTCAGGCTGTGTGACTGTCATGCTCCCTGTGTGACTCAGACCTGCTGGTGGCCACCGCAGGCAACTGGATGACTGCAGCATCCCTGCACAGCCCCAGGGAGGCAGATGAATGCCAAGGGCATTGCCACCCCTTCTCTGTCCCGGCACGCTTGGGGAGGGAATCACCCTAATCATCATTGCTAATGATTGTGCCTTATTTCAAAACACACTTGCTTATTCAAAGCATCTCCTTCATCACTCCCCATTTGTCCTCCAGCCTCTTCTTCCACTCTGAGAGTG